CAATTTAGCATTAAAAAAAATCCTAATACCCTTGAAAGAATTAAGAAGAAAAACATGAAATACAAAATTGGTATTAGATTTGTGGATTATCTCAATTTACCATGAAAAATTTATGGAAAAGAAATATTTTTCAAATAAAGTCCATATAAAATAAATAAAGTTAGTTTAATTTAAATTAAGAAAAAAGTGAAATGCAGAATTGGTATTAGATTTGTAGATTATCTCAATTTACCATGAAAATATATGGAAAAGAAATATTTTTGAAATAGAGTCCATATAAAATAAGTAAAGTTAGTATAATTTAAATTAGGTTTGACTTTGTATAGAACTCTATATGTAATTAAGAAAATACATGTTGATGTGGCTTTCTTAAAAAAAAAAGTAAGTCCTTATATGGGCACATAAATATGAGAAAAACACTACTTTTAAATCACTACATAAAATACTTCTCACCCACAAAAAATTAATGAATCCCATATCACACGATGATATATGGGTACATAACTTTCATAAATTGATAGTATTTGATACTTTTAGCCACGTTTTAATTAATGCCGGTAATATTGTTATATAATGAATAGGTTTAACGTCTTTAAATAATGCTTGTCTTAATTGTAAAGTCAATACTTGCTAAAGTATTCATGATTTGTCCATTTATTATGAATCAACATTGACTATGTATTGCTTGATTAGCATTCACCAGATAGTTTGATGAATGAGAAAAAGATTATAGTAATTAAATGTGGAAAACATTTATGAAAAAATAAAATGTTTGATAACATTCACATTTTATATAATAGAATGAATTTATAAAGTTAATCAAAAGGCTCAGGGAAGAAATATTTGTATAGTGGTTAGGTTTACGCATGAACAGCATAACAATATATAATATTTTTCTTATTAATATATTGTGTTTTAGTGGAATCGTTTGCTAGTTATTTTAGCAATGATCCTGTGGTGGATATATGAGATCTAGAGTAGTTAATTTGATTCCCAAATATACAGACGACAAGGGAACACCGTTTGCTCCATATTTGTTTAGAGAATGGTTGGCCAAACCAAGCCCAACATCTGACTTCTAACTACTCTCTCTGATTAAGATGCTCTTGTTTTGTAGAATAAATAAATACGTGTATCTTGTAAATGTAATCAGCTCGATTTTGGTCGGAATTAGAAAAAAAATTAGTAACGAGCTGAATATTTCAATTCTATTGATTCAGGAATCGAGGCTGAGATTACTCTATAATTGCCTCTATCGTAACTTTTATTGTAATATATGTAGCATTGATCACTTTAATTAAAATTTTAAAAATATTTAAATATAAAATTTCAAGGGGATGCACCAATAAATCTCAAATTAATAACTTATGCACTGTTTAGTCCTAAAAGTTTTCTTATAGACTGAAAGGTCCCATTACAATGTTAATAACATCAGATACAATGTTAATAACATCAGAGTCATGTTACAAACATTGGATTTCAAACATCTAATGTTCATCAAATTTCAATAATGTTTGAAAATATAGGATGAAAAACATCTAATGTTCATCAAATTTCAATAAATTTTGAAATTATAGAATGAAACATCAGATCATTTACATCATTCACATCATGTTGATGTAAAAATGGGACTAAATGGAGCATAAGAAAACTTTTAGGACTAAATGGTTCAACGTTTCAAAAACTAGGACTTATGGGTAAATTTTCCTATAATTTATTGTAATATGTTTTGAACAGTTGCATCAAAACAGTCACATTGTGGCTGTTTACAAGTTTTGAGAGAGAAAGAGAGATGGCGACGATGACGAAGAAGAGTATTAGGAAGATTTTCTTACACGAGCATACATTGGAGTTGAATGATAAGATGGAGGAGTACAAACTTAAGTGCTGTGTGTGCAATCAAGGAATCTCGGATTGGCACCACTATCGTTGCAGTGAAGGCTGCCATACAACACGCATCCACGAGTATCCCTGCTCTGAAATTCCACTCCAAATAGATCACCACCCCCTTCACCCTCACCACTCCTCCTTTTTTGCTTCTTCCAGTGGATTCCATTCAAACCTATGCGATTTTTGTGGGGAAACTTGTAAAGGAGCCTTCATGCACAAGTGTATCGACTGTCCTTTTGTGCTCGATGTCAAATGCGCCCTGCTCAGCGCCACTGCCACCAAGAAAATTCAGTTTCAGAAGCAGCAGCAGAAACCCAATCACTCTCATCCCTTGATATTGTGCGATATGGTTAAGAGTTTTGATTATACATGTTGCTGCTGTGGCTTAACTATTGATGGAAATTGTGTCTATGTGCAAGGGTTTGTTCCACAATTCATGCGCCGAGTTGCCCTTGGAAATCAAGCACCCATTTCACTCCTTGCATCCTCTCGTCCTCTCTCAGCCACTAAAGAATCATTTTTATAACTGCGGTGTCTGTCACCAGGAGCTGCACCGTTTAAACTACCTCTGCTCTAAGTGTAGGTTTGTGTTAGACGTTAATTGTGCTCGTCTGAAACCAGAACAAGGTCAGATTCAACAATTCAGGCACCCTCATCCCTTGATTTTCTGCAACAACAAAGAAAATTTTCCTTGTACCTGCTATGCATGCGACCTCCCCTTGGTGGATTCCATATATTTTTGTCCAGAATGCTCTGCCCTACTCCACAAATCGTGTGCTGATCTGCCTCGGGAAATTGAGCACCTCCTTCACCCTCACCATACTCTCACCCTCAACTATCGTTGGAGAACCGGACATACAGTTGACCCGTGTTGTAATGCATGGAGTACCGACCATTGTTGTAATGCATGTTGTAATGCATGGAGTACCGACCCGTATTGTAATGCATGTTTAGGCACTTGTCATGGTTTTTTCTATAAATGTTGCCATTGCGAATGGTACATGGACGTTAGATGTGCCTGTTTGCCAAAGTCCACTATTTTGAGGTGGTCTAAAATTCACCACCACCCTCTTGCTTTGATCTTCCGCACTGAAAATGTTTGTTGGAGTTGCAATATCCGCGACAAGTTCATCAATAACCCTTTCTTCCGTTGTCTGTCGTGTAAATTCAAGCTACATGTCCATTGTATTTCACGATTACCGCCTACCCTCAAATACCATGATCATGTCCATTCCCTTACCTTTACCAATTGTCCAATCAAAGATCATCCCGATGAAGATAACAATGCAGAGTTTTACTGTGATGCTTGTGAAAAAAGAAGGGATCTAGCGCAACCAACTTACTATTGTAAGGTTGGATGCCAGTTTGTTGCTCATCCTCAATGCGTGGTATCTGAGGTAAATTCAGTCTTTACATATCAAATTAAAATTGATCAAAACGACCCATAAAGAGAAAGAATCAATGTCCCATTTACCCAATTGGGTTGACCAAACGGATTGGTCCTTTGAGATACGATCTCATGAACAGATTGGCCCTTAATAAGATCTCCTGGTTTTCTTTTGTTTTAAGACACAGACTTTCAGCTATTGAAATTCAAGCCAGATATCACAAGATGAATTGTAAAAATCAGCATAGAACAAATTAAAAAGTAGGACTATATTATCAATGTAAGTGATCATCATATCGGAAGCCATTCTGAACGAGAGAAGCTTCCATCCAACATTTGGGAGGGAATGGGGGATACAGTCTTCCATTTCATAGATGTTAGTAACTCCCAAATTCGCCACAGTATGAGCCGTCTTATTTCTAGAGTGGCTCCCAAACAATGCAACTTTACAGAAGTTGTAGCTCTCAATTCTAGGTTACATAATTAGATAAAGTGAGTTGTTGCAAGTATGAACAGTGTTACAAGAAAACAATACCCCACTAGCAATTTTCATTTGTATTGTTACGAAATATGGTAGAGTTTCGTTTCAAAATGACAAATTTATTAGCGATCCCATTATTTTTGGGTTAATTACACTTGACACCCGTGCAGTTTTGTCAGCCTTAATAGTGGTTGATGAACGGAAGTGTAATCTTGCAACTTGACTTAAAAGTATAGAGCGTTGGCTTAAAGTCTCAGGTTTGAAATCTATTAGGTGCAAATAACTTCTTAAGACCAGCCCATATAGGGCATAGCCTCGGCTTTAATTGGGACCCCCGCAAGTGGACAGTGGGATTGGTCTCGTGGATTAGTCGATCTAATGAGCCTATACCAAGTTATCAAAAAAAAAAAGTGTAAAGCGTTGATTGTCATAATTAAAAGTGAAGGGTCAAAGTGAGATTAAACTGAAAGTACAGGACTCCTAAGTGTAATTAACCCATTATTTTTTTTCATTAAAAGTTAAAATAATAAACTAAAATCTAGATAGAGTGAAGGTTTGGATTGAAAAAATGTGAAACCAATGGTCATAAATCCCCCAACCAAACACAGCATTAGTGAATACGAGAACATTTAGGAAAAAGTATTATGGACAACGTAGAAAAGTAGTTCTATTTTAATATTTAATTCTATTTTTCATTGTTTGCTTCTTTCCATTCAGTTGTTCTAACTTTTCTTGTCTTGATAATTAGATCATACAAATTTTAGAAGAAGATTGGTTGAAGCATGAAAATGTTGAGGTAAAAATTGATTCTATATATATCTACAAATATCTTACCTCTACTTAAGTCTTCTGGTGAAAACGCCTATGTTTTTCAAGCTCTTCTTTTTTTCTTTTCTTTTTTATTTTTAAATTATGTTCCCATGTTTCTTTTCTTTGAACTTGTGCTTCTACTCAACTCATTCAAAAATTCAATTGCTTGATTTTTTGTTTTTTGTTATTTTCAGGAGTCACCTGTACTAACATTGAAGGAATTTTTAGATTCATTTACAGAAGATGAGAACAAAGAAGTACAAGGCCTTTTCAAAGAATATAGATGGGATGGAGAAAGTGGCATCCTTCCAAGAATCTTGGGTTTTGGGGATAGCTACGCACATTTAGACAAGGTTTCTACGTGGATTCTGAAAAAGTATGTTTCTAGAGTTGAAGTCGCAATGCCTTGGGAAAAATGGGATACAACATCAAAGGTTATTAAGGATGGACACTTCATGATTTTGGAGAACCAGATCTCCATCCTAAAAGCCTTGTTTTCCAAGTACAAGGGTTTCAGTATTGGATCGAGACTTAGTACAAAGGCAACGATGTTATTCGTAATGACAGTATGTGAAGCTCTACACAGCATGTGCAACACTAAGGTCATGGACATAACTACAAGTCTACTTTTGACTTGGTTTAACTCCTTTGCTTTTGCTCAATATGCAGGCTTCGAAATTCTTTTTGTAACTGATCATTTGATAAAACTGGTGCGTGCTCATTTTGGTTTCCAAGTTGGTCATGATGTTCTTGTAGACCTTAGCCTTGCTGAATGCAATGTCCAGATCACAAAGCAACACACAGGCATAGATTCTAAAGATATTGCCATTATTGAAGAAGATGAAGAAAGCGTAGATTCTGAAGAACTCGCCATTATTGAAGAAGACAAAGAAATTGTAGATTCTGAAGAACTCATCATTATTGAAGAAGATGAAGAAATTTTAGATTCTGAAGAGCTCACCATTATTGAAGACGAAGAAACTCATTATCTCTAGGGGAAGGTAGATTCTATGCAACTAACCATTATCAAACTGGATGAAGCTATTAAAGAGCTTGAAAAGAAGAAACAAGCACTTTTGAAGAAACGCGAGGGTTGGTGCATAAGAAAGGAGTGCTTGATTGATGCTTTAGAACTCGAGGGACAGATGGCAGGCACAAGCTTGTTGTGATGTTCAACAAAGGGTCTACTAGTACTACCATTATTGCAGTAGTTTTGTAGTCCGTGGCTTTTGTGTTGATTTTGACAATGTCATTTGATAGGAATTATTGATGTATTTCGAGATAATGCCATTTGTGAGAGGTGAGTGCCTGTTTTCCCATCCTTAATAACCTTTGAGTGCCTATTTATAACAGTTGCGGTCTATTCACAATTGATACAACATATTCAGCCGCAAAAAATAAATAAAATAAAATTAGCAGCTGATGATTTTAAAAATTCACAATCATATTAATTAATTAATAAGAAATCATTTTGTAATTTAAGGTGCCTAATTACTGGAATCTAAAAGTAAAGTTTTCAAAGTCAATTTTTTTAATTTTTTTCCTGCAGCTGAACTTTTCAACCCGAGGCAATAACATGATTGAAGATTATAAATGTACAACCAATTTCTGAGTCAAAAATTAATTTTCAACTAGGTCATGATCTATGAAAAACTCCTATAAATCATCAACTACTTTGACTTCTATTTAATTCTCCAACTGTCCACTGGAAAATAAAGAACATAAACATCTTGGCTACAGTTTAATTGACTTGGTCCATTTTCAGAATAGGTTATGTATCAGAAAAAAATGTCTAAATTTTATATATTTACGACATAGATTTAAATTTGATATAATGTGGACTATATTCAAGCCAATTCCTCTCCAGTTCAATACCCAACTGAAAAGAATCCATTCCCTTTAAAATTCTACACATTTTTCTGAATATTTTTATTTTTTTGGGATAGGTGCGTACATGTATATACACATCAAAGAGGAGGGAGATAGAGAGAACGGAATACAAGCATTTCAGCCATCATCACACTCCATTGCTCAGGCTGTGAAACTTCATGCACTTCAGATTCCATCTATGTCTTCTAACAATGCAACTTCTTCCTCCATGACCACTGCGGCAATGCCAATCGCTTCATAAAACACCCATCTCACCCTCCCCACCCTCTCATCCACCTCCCATCTCCTGTCTACTGCAGCAGAACCTTCCTCTGCAACGCCTGTGGCGTCACAGGCAAGTCCTTCTCCTACTCTTGCACAATGTGTGAGGTTGATCTCCATGTCCACTGCTTTCTTGCCTCCAAAGGTGAACCACAAGTCACACCCACACGAACTAAGCTTCGTTCACACCATTCCAGAGAAAGAGGCATTGCGTGATCATGACTGCAAGATATGCAACAATATATTGCCGAGCAAGCAACGGAGTTATTGTTGTGTTAAAGTGTGATGATTTTCGTGTGCATACATTTTGTGCTACGAATGAGGTGAAGCCGGGATTGTATCTGGATGATGACAATGATGGTGGCTTGGATTCTGGGACCGTAGAGGCAGCGCAGTCAGGGCCTTTGCAGAGTGGTTGTGAGGATCAATTGGAGATTCAACTGTCGGAAGAGGCGGTTGTGGAATTGTTTAAAATTCAGCTTCAGATGCAGATGGCTGAGCAACTTGCAGAGATGTTGGCATCACCAAATCACTGTTCCCCTGTTTGAGTATGCAATATCAATGGCTAAAAAGTCTTGAATCCACTGATTTGCATTGTAATTGAAGTCAAGGATGGGTAATTGAGTTAGTAAACCACGTCAAGCTCGCGTTCGCTGATTTTCATGTGATTCAATTGGTATTCGGTTGATGATATTCTTACGTCAATGATGTTTATCTTGTATGGTTGTAACTATATAATATTATTGAACTTATTATATAGTTAAATATGATTTGATAATGAAATGCTAAAGCAATTCAAAATTATTGAAGAGTATGTTTTTGTAATCCACAGGTTTGACAATAGTTAGGGTTTGAATTAAGGATTTGATTGGATTCGAGATTCATCAAGAACCGCCATAACTAACATAGCTCTCCTTTGGCCTTGGCCGATGTTCCTCTCGTCAGCCATTGTCAATCGCTTTGTGCCTTTATTAAATACATTTGTTATATGTATATATATATATATATATATATATATGTATTTGTGTTTCAATGTGTGTACCCATAAACTTTTCAACAGTAAATGAGAAAGCCCTTTAGAAATACCCAAATCACCGAAAGATTGATTGGAGATCCAATTATTCTATATATTTTTTTCACATATTTTTTAATTTCTATTTTATATTTATTTTTGTTTTATATTATTTCCATATTTACATATTTCCTTAGATTATTTAATTACCACTCTAGATTAGTTAGCTTGGTTAACACTCTATATACAAGTCTGTGAGTATACTCGGCAAAGTCCATGCATCCCATATCGCTCTGTGAGAGATCACAACTCCACTACATAAGTGAACTAACTCCCTTAAACTAGTAGGAGGCCTTTTAAAGCCGCGAGGGGTTAGCTAGCTGAAATGGGCTAACTCCAAAGCAAATAATATTGTGCTAGTCAGGGAGGGTTAACTGCTTCATTTGGTGCCGTACGTAGGAACTCCCTGCTAAGGCAGCCAGTCCACTAGGGAGTTATGTGGGTGTACTCGATAAAGGCCACGCATCCCATATCTCTATCTTTCAGTGAGATATTATAGCTCCACTGCATAAGTGGGTTAGCTAGTTGAAATGGTCTAACTCCAAAGCGGCTAATATTGTACTAGTCGGGAAGGATTAGGCCATTTTAATTAACTAATCCCTCACCGCAAAATAAAATTCATCTCAACTAGGTTGGTAGCACCAAAAACCAGAAGGAAACTTAAACAGAGGGAAAGGTTAAGGTTATAGAATGACAGATCCTGTTTGCTTTGTTTGTGCTTTGATGAATTGGACTTGGACCACTTATATGGAATACAGCTCAGTGATAATCCAAGGTTTAAAGAAATTTAAAAAATAATAAGACAAGACTCTGCTCTCAAGTCACATTCATGTATATCTAAACGTCATTCAGCATTGACATTGGAAGGCTGACTCGCCTCGCCTTGTTACATTAATGTGAATGAACTGCAATTATCTATTACATTTCTTATAGAAAAAATATTAAGAGCTCTCGAAAGAGAATTTTAGAAGACAGAGTTTATTTGTGAAGTGATAATTGTGTTTGTATGTTTATTTATTTATTTATTTTCCTTACCACATATGTAAAACTTTCTTCAGACCTCAAATGTCATTGTTTTTATATATAAATATCATTCATATATATAAATATCATTCATAGTGCACCTCTCTCTCTCTCCTTTACCTATATCTACCTCCACCAGATAGCCTTGAATGACTTGTATAGCTAAAACATCAATCAGCAATGCTACATCTATTGAATATGTACATTAAAAAATTCACAAAATTTTTAATGTGTAATTTACATTCATTTAAGGTATGAGTTTCACCATATAAAATTTAAATTTATACCATACATTATATTTTAAGATATAATTTTGCACATAAGTTATGCGCACATATCATCATCATATCTTGAATGAGGAAAGGAAATAATGAAATATTAAACCTACGAAGTATTTGATTTGAGAAGTATTTGCATTAATTGTGTCGTTGGATAATATAAAAACATTCGCTTTCGCTCTACAGTAGTGTTTTGATGATCCGAATTATAAAAAAAATTAGATCAATATGATAATCGTAATATTTTTATTTTATCATATTTTTGTTTAAAGATATGAATGATCTATTTTTAAAAATATATTTGTGGTCTATTTTTTTGAAAAATAATGTGATAAAATAAAAAAATTATGATTATTGGATTGACTTAATTTTTTTTCATAGATATTATATACAAGTCCTACAAAATAAGTGATTTCGATTATTAAAACGGGACTGATGATGAAATTTACAATTGGATATAACAATTAAGTTCAGACTTAAATTTAAGAGAAACTTAACTCTATTAGTTAATTTGAGTGTCAACGGAAAGGCCGGCTCAAGAGGGAAGCTAACGAAGCACCCGCTTTAGACCCCTGCTTTAACAATTGTTTAGGCAATTAAAAAAAGGCAAAAATAAAAAATAAATAAATATTAAGGCTTCAGTTCAGTAGCTTTTTCCAAACTAAAATAAGGAAGTGACACTGGCTTTATCTACATAAGAAAGGAAAAAGATTCTACGTAGCGGATAAAAAATAGAGGCCAAAAAAAAGATCATATATTAGGAGAAATTGTAATTTTGTTTTTAAAATTAATTTAAATTAGTGATAAATTTTATCAATTTTAATAATTAAAGTTATAATTTTTTTTCATAAATTTGTAAATATTTTGTGAAGACACTATTAATTTATAATTTTTTTCTATATATTATCGAATGGATTTTATTATTGTTATTTTACTTTTTATGTGTATCTAAAGAACTAATTTCATGTGCTGACTCCTTATATTTTAAAAACAATGGAACAACATGTTTGTCGCGAAGAGAGAAATAAGTTGGGTGTTGGACCCATAATACTGACTAATTCTAGTTACCCACTCTTATTTATCCCGAATTTATCTGAAATGAAATTGTGTAATTATGACTGAATTTGTGTAGTGTAAAATAAATTTGTAAAATAAATTTGAATCACAATATTATAATAAACTCGGAATAGATAGGGGGTTTATAGTATTACTCCAAAAGAAACTAGTATGTCGTTTTCCCACATAACGGAGGCACACAAGCTCAAAGATCACTCCTCTTTGCCCCAATCTCCATAGACGAAACAAGGGAAGAACAGACTAGCAATGGTGTCGATGAAAGGTTTACATCCAACCGCAGTGTCTTAAGAGAGACGGTTTTTTATCTTCTCTATTTGAAAAATTTTAGTGTATTGGACTGAAAATTTTAGTCTGTTGCACTTACGATTCCCATGTTCACTTATGATGTGTTTGGTTGGGGGATTTGAGGAGGGATTTGGAAAGGGAAAAGGTGTGTGAAACTAGGTGAAATATAGGCATGTTTTATTCACATTTCACCTACCTTTTCCATTTCCCTTTTCAAATCCCTCTCTAAATCCCCAACCAAACACAGCATTAAAGTGTTTTTTTTTTTTTGGTGTGTGTGTTGTTTTTGTGTTCTCAGGGTTGATGTTGTTGACGTTTCTTGGAATTTAAGCTCTGTTGATGCTTACTTGAAATTTAAGCTTCAAATCCATTTGTATTGGCTCACTTTGGAGAATTTAACCTCCAACAAGTAAAGGTACATTGGTTTTGTTTATTATTCATCAACTGATTTTTTTTTTCCTGCTTGATACTATGAATGTCAAGGTAATTTATTTTATTTATCATCTATGTACCTGAATTGCAGCTGAGGCGAAAGAAGAAGATCAAGAAAGCCCTTCCTTTCACGAAATGGAATCTGATGGGTGGAGGATTCTCATCTCTGCGATGTGGATGTGTTTCAGTTCCTTGTTCTTTCTCCCAGCCACGCGTCACCATCTACTTTGAAGTGTTGGACAGTGCTGGAAGAAAGGACTGCTAGAGGATCCAAAAGCCTTCTTAACATAAGGAGAAAAGGTTTCAGGTACTGCATAAGAAAAAGCGGTGATAGACGTCATTATGCATATTAGGCACCACTAACCAATAACATGTTACATCATGTCATGTATATAGATCTCAACCCTTGCCATGAAAGTTGCATAAAAATTTTAATAATGAGTCATCATGTATATTAGGTATCACTAATCAATCACATGTTACCTCCTATCATGTATATGTAGGCAAATCATACATATGTATAATATAATCACATGTGTATAGATATACAACACAATAAAATTATACTAATCTTCTCTAGTCATTATTTATCAAGTTGTGTGATGTGTGTATTTCTTCTGAATTTTTCAATATTATATCATGCACCTCACACTTTAGAAATAGAAATAAGCGTCTTCTAACCTATACAGAACTTGAGTGCCTTCTTGATAGAAAACCACAGGCCTATTTATAACTGTTAGGTCAGGGACCTTTATCAGATAGATACCTTATCAGATAAACCTTATTAGTTTCCTTCTATCAAGAAAACTTAATTAGTGAAAATTGATGGGTCTTAGCCAAACCACCATTAGAGTTCTTGATATTTTAGGCAAACTCAATAATTATCACCCATAATTATCAAGATAAAAGATAAATATACATGTAAGGATAAACATATAAATAATATATAATATATATAATTTACAAAATTAATATGTATGTGGGTTACAGTATATAGATCCCAACCCTACTAGTTACATAAAAATTATAATGAGTCATCATGCATATTAGGTATTAACCAATAAAATGTTATCTCCTATCATGTATATAAATCCCAACCCTACTATAATGATATGAAAGTTACATAAAAGTTATAATAATGACATGGGTAGGTGGTTATAATATACAAGTTGACTTTTTAAACTTATTTTTTAAATTTAGTATTGTGTCAAGATGATTGATTAATGATTATAGAATAAATAAGAGTGAGAGTTGATTTAAATATATTAATAGAGTGTGAAATCATTAAGTTTAGAAAATGAGTCTAATTTTCGGGTCTAAATAGCAATACCTATACAAAAGGTGGATTCACTCAATTATATGTTAAAGCATCTCAAATGGTAGTTGTCAAAATAACATTGCCAAAATTATAATTTGACATGTTACAATAACAAAATATTAAATTATAACAATGATACTCCAATGATGTAATTTCATTTGGCAAATTTTCAACCAACTTTCCTTGTTTGAACATAATTTTTTGAGTTTTTTTTTTGTTATTTTTTTTTTGGGGTGAAGTACCATTAAATCCCAAATTGGAAACTTGTGCACTAATTAATCCTGTATCTTTTTTGTTGAACCAAAAAGTCCTAAAATTCTCAGAATGTCGCATTTGCCCTATGTCATGTGCGTGTTGGTGTGTGTCTTAGGGCCCAATTTGGGTTTTTGATTATGGTGAAATTACAGATTTGGACATAAAGTGCACTACAGGCTTTTTGTGTTTTCTCTCGTTTTCGATTGAATCTTATGATCTTCATATAGAAATGTTAGTATGCAACATTTCCAGATTTGAACATCCCCATGTTTGATTGTCGATAACAGTAGATTATACATCCCGCTGGCACTTGTTTGTCGTCATCTTCTCTGGCTATCAATTTGCAAAGACAAATATATATCGGTTATGTCGTCGTCGGTCGATCAAAATCGATGACTATGACAGTCGAATGTTTGTGATGTTAACCATTGTAGTTAGTTGGTTTATTGTGCAATGTTATGCGTTGAATGCAATGTGGTTTGTTTTGGGAGTTTGAATCAATGTTACATGGCACAGTGGTGTGGTGATCTTATGTTAGGGATCATTTTTTTTTTTTTTTGTTGACATGTGTCAATGAACACCAGCCGTAGTTTTCACATTAGGAGTTTGTTTCCTCTGTTATTGTTGTTTCCTCTGTTATTTTTACATTATGAGATTGTTTCCTATGTTACATGGTAATGTGATTTACCCTTTGTGGTGAATGGATTTCATGTCAGTTTATTGATTGTGTTTGTGGATTTTAGTGTCACACTAGGGGCTTGTGGTAATGTAAGGAGCTGCAGAATTGCACTTAGTGTAATGTGACAATACGTTATCTTGTTCAAGAATATCATGCATTGTTTATTGAGTTGATGTATCATTGTTCGGATCCAATGTGGGGTTAATATGTAGTTTACTTATTGTAGCACGATCGTTTGCATGTCATTGCATCATGCCACATTTCATTAGATAGGTTCAAACTAAACGTTAACCCCACATTACGTCATGCCATATGTTTTGCCATATTTTGATTGCCTGCCCGGAACAAAACATCAGTCTGTGTGCTGGTTTTTTAAGTCATAAGACAATCAATCATGTTGGTGATTGTGTAATTGTGTTTTCCGTTATGGGTTGCCATTCTTTGATTACGCAATGTTCAATTTTGTCCCTTGTACATTCAAGTAATTATCGGCATGTTATGCGCATGATGTTACGTCATGCCACAATTTATATTGTAATTTCAATGAACTGGTGGCACCACATTGCAACATGCCAAATTGCCCTAATGTTTGTCATCTTTGTGTTATATATACTGAAATATGGACATATGCATATGTTGTGCTCAGATCACATGAAATTAGTGTGTTAAAATGCGTGGCAGACAGAATGTATGTGTGTTGTGTGGTAAAACATGTGGAGTTATGGTGTGAAAAAGACTTTTACAGACAAACATGTTTGGGTTTTTAATTTTCTTACACCCTACCATACTTATGAAATGTGTAGACTTAACGGTTCGAACTGTACTATTTTTTAGGAGTAGTCCTATGTGCGAGATGATGTTGTAATATGGAAAATTATTATTGTTTCGTGCAACAATGGAATGTAAATGGATATACACAAATAGGGACTTAAAGGATGTGTGTTGCCTACATTCGACGGAAAAACATAGGGACACGTTTTGGTTATTCGCTTCAACAAACCATGAGCATGTTGGCGTTCGTTTTTTGTTTGTTTGTTTGTTTGTTTGTTTTGTGTGTTTTGTTTTGTTTGCAATATATTGATTATGCATTGTCCGTTTCGTACCTGTTAATATGAATTTAGTGCTATCATGTGTGTTTTTGTTAATAGTAATTCATTGTTTTGTCTTTATGTCCCGCCGTACCTAACAAATGAGCATTGCCTAATCTTTGTCACAGGTAACGTTCTGCATACGAAGATCCTCATCGCACCCAACCTTGAACTTATTATAGTTGGGTGCGACGAACAATAAAAACACCATCTTGGATACCAAACCATCAAACTTCCTTCCTGCATATCCCATCAACCAACTGCGCGAACGTCAACTCTTGATGAAGTCAAACAACAACATTCATTTGCCCGTAAGTACACAACAACAAAATAACAACTTCCATACCCGTAAAATCAACAAAAACCTTAATATCCCCTTACCCCCACTACTAAAATTTCAGCTTTTTGCGATGGTAAAATGCCGTCGCTAATACTCCTAATGCCGTCGCAAAAAACTTTTTGCGACGGAAACATGGAACTCATACGCAACGACAAGACTCGATATGTGACCTTTCAAAAGAGAAAGAAGGGGTTGAAGAAGAAGACTTACGAATTAAAAACCCTCTGTGATGTTAAAGTGTGCTTGATTATTTATGGTCCTAAGATCAATGATCGTCCTACAGATGATCAAGCAGAAATCTGGCCCCCAAATCTCGACGTAATTCAGCACTTGATCGACACCTACAAAAACCAATCTAGTGAAGATCGCATAAGGAGAACCCTTCGTTTGTCCAACTTTTTTGAGGATAGGTATCAAAAGATTGAAGACATGCTTGTGAAACTACGAAAGAAAAATGATGAGGCTGGGTACTTTACATGGGATGATCGGTACAATGGTTTGTCGAAAGAAGAACTCAGAGAATTTGAAAGTGTTTTGGAGGGAAAGCTTCAAGATGTGAAGGCTAGGGTTGCATTCATGAAGGGTATTGATCAAAAACTGCCAGTAGCATGTATCAACGACAATTCTCACACTCAAACCACCCAAAACCAATCTTATTTCATGCATGGATGCATGTTTGGGACTGAAGTTGACAACGGCATTGCTAATTTACAGTACTCTTTCAATCAGGCTCAAGTTGATGCAAATTCCAAGGAGAATCCAATGATGATGATGACGATGATGCCAATGAACAATAATCAGTATTACAATCAATTTGGCGGCGTGTCTAACAGTAACTTTATCTGCAATCCACTAGATAGGCTAATTTATTATGATCCGATGATGTTGGAGAATGTGATTGTTAACAATCCTTCACAGCCTGTAAGCTACTGCAATCCGAGCATACAGACAATGTCACCGTATATGCAGTGTTTGAAGATGGAATGTGCTTCATCTAGTGTGCATCCTTCTCAGTTGGACAAGTAAGGGAATTTCAGATGATGAACCAGAAATGCATTTAGTTATTCTAATATGGTAGTAGAAATTGATTAGTTTTGGAAATAGAAGTCCAGTGTTTTTCTTTATTTGTTTTATTTATTTGTTTTTAGGGTTCTGATCAATTGATTTTAACTATTTATATAGATTTATGAAGTTAATAACTTCCAATTGACATTCATTGTTATACAAGAAAATGCAAATGGATAAATTTTGTTGGACTCTGGATGTGGCAAAAAAGAAAGAAAGAAAGTTGATTGCATAACAATGAGATTAGAGTACACTCAAATTGAAGTTGCTTTCATTCACTTCAATAATTTAGTGTCATACTATTGATCAAATGACTTTGGAAGAGAGCTTTGGTTCAGTAACTTTGAAGTAGATCAAAAGATGTTAGCAATAGACCATAACCACTCAACAGCCCTGCTTGGCGCAACTTGTAGGCATACATTTCTTCTTTTTTTTTTTGCAGAGCTTATGCTATGAGAATGTTTACTGCAACTTTTACTTATAACTTACCAATAAAAATAGTTTAAATAAACTGAAAATAATTAATTATTGAAAAAATGAGAGAAAAGTACTTCCTTCAACTTCTGCCTTTTTATTATGAACTTTTAGCTAGTAAGAAACTACCTCAAACAAACTCACTAAAACGATGAAAAAAAACTATGGAACAAGAAAAAATAACGAAGTAATTGATAAGAAAAACCCCTCCTCATATCACATTCAAACCACTGAATCTTTGTCAAACAATTCCATACTAAGCAAAAAACAAACACTTCAAAGCAATTCCAGACATCAGTTTGCCAGGGCTGGGGATTATAACTTGAAATGCACCAAGATTTGAAGAGAACAAGATCTCAGTTTACGGAATTAACAAATTTAGGCAACTCTTCAAAACAGCAATGGAACATCAAGAAACAAGGTCTTCTAACTTTGACATGGTTCGATAAAGACGACATGGTTTCTTAGAAACAGCACCCGCATCTGTTGCAGTTGTTTCCAGCTCATCTTCCATGGCATTAACTTCAATTCTCTGGGTCTCCACAGCAGCAATGCAAAAGGGAAACTCTGTTTGAATCAACGACTGCTTACAAAGTACAAACCTCATCTTGGTTTTGCTTCACCTCACTGCTATTATCTTCTGGTCTTGCACCACTTGCCTTCTTCCTTGGTATGAAGGTTATGGGAAGATGAGATGATACCTCCCCTGACTGTGACCCAGACTCTTTGGGCTTTGACATTTTTACCAGCTTAAGAAGGTCCACACAAGCTTGGCTATTGGATTCATCATCAATTTCACTGGACGAATCAAAACTGTAATGTGTATATTTGGAAGGATTCAACACATAATTGGGAAACCCTGGTGTATTTCCAGCCAACAAAGAGTTATGATGAGAAATGCTGTTCTCCATGGAGGAAGTACCCGTCATGAAATCTCGAGGTTTTTCTGAAGCTTCTTCACAATCATCTTTGCAATCTGGATCAAACCTCACATGTTTTTGCGCCTTGGAACTTGCCGCATTATTTTTCCTCTTCAATATAGATTTCAGTTTACAACCATCTTCTGATGCTTTAATATGTGGCTCCTCAACTTTTGGAATAGATTCATCATCACTAGTGTGATTAGAACAATACTTCTGATCTTCTACTTTCTCTTCATTCAGCCCAAGTCTTGCAGCAAATTGATTGGCGCGAGGATCCCTAGGGGCATTGTGGACAGAACTGGGAAGCACATTGTGAGAGTTCAAATATGGTCCATGATTGGTAGCATCACTCATATACAAGCGATCACTAACATTCTCTCTGCCCTCGGCCACTTTATCATATTCATCTTCTTCTTCCTGAAGGCAGTTTGATCACAAGAAACATATCAGCCTTGGATGTAAACAGCCAGTCCATTGATTTCCCAAGGAAAGTTTGAAGCTAGTTGAAACCTCCAAATTCCCACACTCATCCAAATATATATAAAGAAACAAATTACAAGCAACCCTACAAGCATATACAGACACTAGAATTCCACCAGCGAGAGTAGATGAATATAAAAAAAAATCATCCCAATTTTTTTCAAGATAAAACCAAATATGGTACCAATAAGAAATATAGCAATGTCTAAAACCAAGTTTAATGGTATTATCAGCAAGAAATATTCTAAAACCAATGAGTACTCGTTGCATTTGTGCATTAAAAAATTATATCATCCATTCATGAGCAAATGTATTGTGCCATCTCAAGCAAATCCAAAACACAATCAACACCTTTATTTATTTATCAAACAAACTTATAAAATTAAAAAATTATTACTGTGTTTGAATCTTGAACTTGTGGTGAAACAATAAACTGAAAGGCAAAGAAATTGAAATAATAGAAGCTAAATATATATTTTCTTTTTTGGGAAAATGAGAAGAAAATTAATAGGAGATATTAGTCAAAAGAAATCTACTTTTTGGGTTAATTTAAGCATAAAATTAAAAATGTAGTCTATGTGTATTTTTTCTTTCCTTCACATCACAAATACAATCGAAGATCCAAAGGTAGCACCAGGTCACGTTGGTGTCCTTTGATCACATCATAATACTGTCATGTAACCATAATCAAGCAAAGCCTTCACATCCAATTAAGTAAAATCAAAACAAGAACAAATAGTTTCACCAACATAAATTAACAAAAATGAGAAACAAAATTCGAACTTGAACCTCGTTATCAAGCGTTGAGTCCAAGCCGATGGACGATCTAATCTCCCATTCATCTCTACCATCACCCTTGACATATTCAGAGGAATGTCTACCGCCTCCCAATTGATCATCATAGTCATTGATATCTTGGAGGTCGTGTTGTCGTCGAGTATTTCTGGTGAAAAGGCCATCGAAAGAGAAAGAAATGGGGGTTTGGTCGTCGTCTTTGGCAGAGGAGGGTCATCGCCACTCTCTCTTCTCGACCTCGTCGTCGATGAGAGACCACGGAGGGCTTAGCGATGATGATGATGATGATGATGATGATGACGATGAGAAAGGCCCGAAGATCTTCTAGACTCGAGCTCTGAAAGTGTTGTCCATAGAATCCGAAGATAGAGCCATCGATATCGATTGGTTGATATTTGATTGACGATTCAAACAAGTCTGTATGTATGTATGTTGATATTTGATTCCGATTTCCTACTTCTACGCTTAGAACTCATGCTCTTCCTCTTCCTCCTCGACCGTGAATCATCCAAATCAGCATCTGAAACAAATTGAGAGAGAGAGAGAGAGAGAGAGAGAGAGAGAGAGAGAGACGTAAGAAGAGATTAGGGATTTTGAGATTGGGGATTTTGGTTCAAGAGTGGCGGGAAACCCGAGCGGGAATAGAAAGGGGGGGTGAGATTACAAATGAATTTTTTTTTTGATTTTCATTACAAATGAATATTTAAATAATAAAATGACTTTTTTTTTTTTACAACGGAGGATGCCGTTGCCAAAAAAATTATTTTTTATTGAAATAATTTTTTTTTATAGTTAATGAATTTTTTTTTCATCTAATAAGGTTGAAAATTTATTTGTTTCATATTTATTTTAATGAATAAAAAATTATTAATTTTTTTTTTATTTGGTAGAAGTAGGGATAATATTTTCTATTAAAATAAAGTTAATTTTTTGTGGTCAATGAAAAAAAAAATTTTGCGACCCATTTTTTTTTTGATACTAAAAATCAAGAACTAATTTTTTGTGGTAGAGGATAGGAAGTGGCAGTAGTGGTGAAAGTGGTGGATAAAAGGTGATAGTGGTGGTGGTAGTGATGGTGAAGGAGATAAGTGGTGAAGTTATGGTAGTTGTAGAGGAGATAGAATAAGGATGGTGGATGAGAGGTAATGGTGGTAGTAGTGGTGGTAGTGGAGTGGTAGCGATGGTGGTAGTAATGATAGTTGTAGAGGTTGAGTGACAACAGTGGTAGTAGTGGAATTGCATTTGCAGTAGTGGTGAATGTGGTAGAGAAGATGGGTGGTAAGAGAGAGAGATGAGTGAGAGACAAATAGAGAAGAGAGATAGAGAGAGAGAGAAAGAGAGAGAGATAGATAGACAGACAGACAGACAGAGACAAAGTGATGAGCGAGAGAGAGATAAAGTGGTCGCTAAAAGTGCATTTTCTCGTAGTGGAGAGCTCGGTAAATAGAGAAGAGATGATGGAGAGAGTGAGCAGGGTGAACACAATGGGGAAGAGAGACAAACAGACAGACAGACACATTAAGAGAAAGAGAGAGAGAGAGAGAAGAGTGAGAGACAGACAAACAGACATAGAGAGAGAAAGGGAGAGAGAAGAGTGATAAGTGAGAGAGAGACAAAGAGAGAAAGAGATATAGAGAGAGAGAGACATATAGAAAAATAGAGAGAAACAAGAGATGAGCGAGAGATAGACAAAGAGAGAGAGAAAGAGAGCGAAAAGAGATGATCGAGAGAAAAACAGAAAAATAGAGAGACGAAGAGAGAAGAAAGATGAGCGAGAGAGACAGAGAGAAGATAAATGAGCGAGAGAGAAGAGAGATAGAGAGATGAGAGAGATAAAGAGAAGAGAGATGAGCGAGAGAGACATAGAGAGAAAGACATGAACGAGAGAGACAGAGAGATGAGCGAGAGAGAGGTGAGAGAGATAGAGAGAAGAGAGATGGGTGAGAGAGATAGAGAGAACAAAGATGAGCGAAAGAGACAAAGAGAGAAAAGAGATGAGAGAAGAGATAGATGAATGAGAGACATAGAGAGAGAGAGAGACAAATAGACAGATAGAGAGAGAAAAGTGATGAATGAGAGAGAGAAATAAAAGAGAGAGAAGAAGATGAAAAAATGGGTGAAAAGATATAGACAAAGAAAGAGAGAGACAGAGAGAGAAAGAAAAAAAAAGAGTGAAAAGAGATAAACGAGAGAGAGACAAAAAGAGATGAGCGAGAGAGTGAGAGAGAAAAAAAGAAGAGAGAGAGAGAGAAGAGAGACAGAGAGAGAAGATACATGAAAGAGATAGAGAGAAGAGCGATGGACGAGAGACACAAAGAAAAAGACAGACAGACAGACAGACAGAGAAGAGTGATGAATGAGAGAGAGAAAAAGAAGAGAGACAGAGACACAGAGAGAAAGAGAGAGACGGACAGACATAGAAGAGTGATGAGTGAGAGAGAGAGAGAGAAGAGAGACAGAGACACATAGAGAAATGGAGAGATAGACAGACAGAGAAGAGTGATAAGTAACAAAGAGAAAGAAAAGAGAGACAGAGACAGAGAGATAGGAAGATGAAAAAATGGGTGAAAAGAGAAATGTTCAAAAGAGTAAGACGACGTCGTTTATAGTGGATCGATAAATCGAGAAGGAGCTCGATAAATAGAGAAGATGGGAGTAAGAGAGTGAGCAAGGCAAACATAACATAGTGAGGGAGAAATAGACAAATAGACAAGTAGACAGAGAGAGAGAGAAGAGTGATGAGTGAGAGAGAGACAGGGAGAGAGAGATAGACAAAAAAAGAGATAGAAAGAGAAAGAGAGAGAGAGATAGAAGGAGAGATAGAAAAAGAGAGAGAAACAAGAGATGAGCGAGAGATAGACAAAAAAAGAGAGAAATAGAGCGAAAAGAGATGAGCGAGAGAGAGACAAAGAGACAAGAGAAATGGGGAAGAGAGATAGAGAGAGATAGAAAGATAAGAGAGAGAGAGAGAGAGAGAGAGAGAGAAAAGAAATGAAAGAGATAGAGAGATGAGCGAGAGAGACAGAGAGAAAATGAGAGAGAGAAACAGACAGACAGAGAAAGAAGAGTGATGAGTGAAAGAGATAAAGAGAAGAGACAGAGAGATAGAGACAGAGAGACAGGAAGATAAAAAAATGAATGAAAAGAGAAATGTTATATCAAAAGAGTAAGACGACATTGTTTTTTTTAATTTTTTTTGCGACAGAAAAATACCGTTGAATTTATTCAAACCATTCTGTGACTTTATATATATGAAACTGTCTCAAAACCACAATCGCTATGCTAAATTAGAGTTTTCCAAAAACTCTTTTGAGAAAATTATACTTTCTTGTTTTCCGTGTTATATTGTTTTTACTGAATTTTTTTAATATTTTAAGTATTTTTTTTTTAATTTTTAGACACACCTAACATAAATACACCTAAAAATTAAAAAAATTTGTAAAAGAAATCTTTTAAAAATTCACTAAATATCAAAAATACAATAATTCAATACATTTTTTTTTGTATTTTTATGTATTTATTAATTTTTAAAAATATTTTTTCATAATTTTTTTTTAGATACATCTAAGTAAGGTGCATCTAAAAAAAATATTTAAAATTTTAAAAATATTCACTAAAAAAAAAAAAACACGAAAGTCACTTTTTGCGACGGCAGAAAATGCCGTCTCAAAAAAGCAGAGTATTTGCGACGGCACCATTTACTGTCTCAAAAAAGCAGAGCATTTGCGACGGCACAATTTGCTATCTCAAAAAATGAGAGTATTTGCGACGGCAGAAAATACCGTCGCAAATGCTCTCATTTGTTGAGACGGCAAATAGTGTCGTCGCAAATGCTCTGCTTTTTTGAGACGGCAAATGGTGCCATCGCAAATACTCTACTTTTTTGAGACGGCAAATGGTGCTGTCGCAAATACTTTGTTTTTTTTAGACGGCATTTTCTGCCGTCGCAAAAAGTAACTTTTTGAGACGGCAAGTGTGTCGTCGCAAATAGTTCCGTCTCATAAACCCACTTTTCTTGTAGAGCCCCTAGTTCCGAAATGAAAGCACGCCTTACCAGAACACAAAAAACTTACATTGCACAAACACAAAAACAAACATAAGCAACATACATCAAAAGCCAAACAAAATCCCCCACAAAACAACCCACAATTACCTTGACAGCCAGCCGCTCAGAGCAGCGCTGGCGTTGGAAAATCAATGCATCCCAACAACCTCCCAGAAATGCACAAAATGATTTCACATGTTACAGGAAAACCACATCAGCAATCCTTCCCACTGTAAATAATTCTGCACAAATCACAATCCCAAATGGAAATGTTAAAAAGTTACCTACTACATTGACACACACACACAAACAAATAGAATCCCCCAAATTAGACCACAAGGATAAATATGTAAACTCCATCCATATCAAATCAAAAGAAAATATTCATTACCAACTAAATAGGACCAAATGGTTCACAAGAAAACACACAGGACTAAATGGATCAACATTCTCTCATTTGGGATTTATCGGTAATTTTTTCTTCTTTTTTTTTCCATCTTTTATGATTTTTTAAAAACTTTTACAAAAAAAAAAAATTATATATTTACCTTCTAAACAATTAGACAAAATAAAAAAAAATTAATTTAATTTAAAATTTGAAAAAACAAAATATTATAATTTACCCACTGCCAATACAAAATTGGAAAAAAAAAATCTAATATGTATCTGTTGGATCGATATTGATTTGAGCATCCAACAGGTCAGACTCTCACCTACCCATCTGTCACTTTCTTTCATCTCATCCAACGGCTGAGATTAAAGCCCTCTCTCTCTCTTTCGATCTCCTTCATCTTCCTCCAGCTCCTCTAACCCTAGTTCATCAACAGCCTCATCCCACCAAAATCTGCCGTCGTTCGCCGCCGTCCCTCGATCAACCGCCTCATCCTACCAAAATCCGTCGTAGTTCATCAACCGTCTCTTTGATCGCGCACCAAATGGCGGTTGTTCTGCTTGGAAGGGTGGTTGTTCTTATCTCTATCTCCATCTCCATCTCCATCTCTGCCTTACCCTCTCTCTCTCTCTCTCGCTCTCTCCATTTCTCTCCATCTCTGCTTCACCCTCCC